AAACAATGCGGACGCGATAAGGTCGGACATGCTTGATGCACGGGCCATTCGGACCCGCTGGTACCGTAGCGTGCCCGAAACCTGGCAAACCCCAGATGTCATCACCATCCACCAACATGCCCAGGTATGAAGCAATCCCAATCTCTTTGGCGGAATGCCAGGCTCTACACTCTTCACTGACCTTCCTATTCAACATTACTGCGCCGCTTGCAAAGGATGCAGGCAACACAAGGCGCCCACTGCAGACCTTGTTTATCCGAGATGCCGGTTGCTGGTGCCTCTTGGCGGGGACGCAGCGCGCCTTGGGAGGCTTAACACCTGCTCAATGCGGCAACTACGATGCGCATATCAATTAGACTGATAGATGCAGTGGAAGGTAGATAAATAGGTTCGTTGCCTGGCCTGAGCACGACAGGTGCTTTGTTGCATTCGTCTTGAGTTTCTACCCGACGTATCGTTCTTGCTTCTTGCAAGTGCGTCGCCATGCGCTCTTTCGCGATCCTCGCTGCGGCGCTGCCGTTGATTCACGCCATCGACCCTCCGCGCATGCCACACCAACCTCTCGGCAATGGCACAAAGCGTCTGAGTTACAATGAGACCACCAACGCTCCTGGTTCTTTGACGCCCTCAACCCGATCTTTCACCTGGGTTGGCACCGGAGAGGATGGCGATTACATCTACACAGCCGCGTCTGGAGACTTTGTCTTCGAGAACGTCGCCACTGGCGAATCCTCAACTTTCATCTCGGCTGATCAGGTCCCGGCTGACTACTGGGACTACTTCATCTCGCCCGATGCGACCAAAGTCATGTGGGCCGTCAACTACACCAAGCAGTACCGCCACTCTTACTTCGCCGACTACCTGATCATGGATGTTGCGACTGGAGAGTCCGTATCTCTTGATCCCGAGTCCATCGGCGATATTCAGTACGCTGAATGGAGCCCGGTTTCGTCATCTCAGGTTGCATTCGTCAAGGGAAACAACTTGTACATGTCCACCAATGGCACCATCTCCCAGATTACTGAGGATGGAGGCCCCGACTATTTCAATGCTATTCCTGATTGGGTCTACGAGGAGGAGATCTTTGGCGACCGCTACACTCTGTGGTTCTCTCCCGACGGAACCAGGATTGCTTTCCTCAGCTTCAACGAGACTGGCGTTGGCACATTCAGGATACCATACTACATTGAAGACGATGCTGAATACGTTCCCGTTTACCCGAACGAATTGGAGCTCCGTTACCCCAAGGTCGGCACCAAGAACCCCACGGTGGTCATGAACTTGCTTGATGTGGAGTCTGGCGAATACACCAATGTCCCCATTGATGCTTTCCCAGAGGACGATCTCGTCATTGGCGAAGTTGTCTGGCTTACCGAGCAGCACAGCCAGGTCATGTACCGTGCCTACAACCGTGTCCAAGATATGGAGAAGCTGGTACTCGTTGATGTTGAGGCTGGGTCATCCAAGGTTATTCGCGAGCGTGACGGTACCGATGGATGGCTAGAGAACTTGATGCAGGTTCGCTACATCGGAGCTGTTGAGACCGCAAACGCGTCTTACGGAAACGCTACCGAGTACTACATGGATCTTTCTGACATGAGCGGCTGGGCGCACATCTACCTCTTCCCCGTCAGCGGCGGAGAGCCCATCGCGCTGACATCTGGCGAATGGGAGGTTCTCAGCGTTCTCAAGGTTGACTACTCTCGCGGACTCATCTACTACACCTCCACCGAGCATCACAGTGCTGAGTCTCACATGTACTCCGTCAGCTTCTCCGGCGAGAAGACTGCATTGGTTGACGACACTGTGACCGCTTTCTGGACCGCTTCATTCTCTTCCGGTGGCTCATACTACGTCTCTCGTTATGCTGGACCCGACGTTCCATACCAGGAGCTGTACTCCATCAACTCCACCGAGCCAATTCGCACAATTGTCAACAACACTGCGCTTTACGAGAAGCTTCAGGGCTACGCTCTTCCCAACATTACGTACCTTGATATGGAGCACCCTTCCGGATATACCCTGGATGCCATGCTCCGTCTTCCACCCAACTTTGACCCCAGCAAGAAGTACCCTCTCATTCTTCTTCCGTACGGTGGTCCCAACGCCAAGGAGGTACAAAAGTCCTTCAACGCACTCAACTGGAAGGCTTACATTGCTTCTGACCCCGAGCTCGAATACGTAACTCTCACCGTCGACAACCGTGGTACCGGTCGTAAGGGTCGTGCTTTCCGGTCTCTCGTCACTTCCAACCTCGGTGAACTTGAGGCTGAAGACCAGATCTGGGCTGCCAAGGAGATGGCCAAGAACGAGTGGATCGACAGCGAACACATTGGTATCTGGGGTTGGTCATACGGTGGCTACCTCTCCTCCAAGGTCGTTGAGGTCGGCGACCCAATCATTAGCTACGCCATGATCACCGCTCCTGTCAGTGACTGGCGCTTTTACGACTCTCTTTACACCGAGCGCTACATGAAGACTCCCGACATTAACCCCGAAGGCTACAACCGCAGCCGTGTCCACGACGCCACTGGCTTCAAGAACATCGCTGGTGGTGTCGTCATCCAGCACGGTACCGGTGACGACAACGTACACTTCCAAAACTCGGCTGCGCTCGTCGATCTCCTCATGGTCAACCAGGTCACTCCTGAGAAGATGCAGAACACTTTTTTCACCGACAGTGACCACAGCATCAACTTCCACAACAACGGCAAGTTCTTGTACAAGCAGCTGAGCAAGAAGCTTTATGAGGAGAAGGCTCGTAACGGCGACAGCTTTGGCGGACATCAGTGGAGCAAGAGGGCTTTGGGACGGAAATGGAGGGCTTGAACGCGCTTCAAGTTCAGTCAAAAGTCATGTAATCTTTAGTTCCAACAATGCCATAATGTAATGAGTATTCAAAGGCCTACCAACTTTCACATCACATTCCGTCCTATCCTGCCAAGCCCCTTCTTCACTACTTACCTCGTTTCTAACGATTATGCCTTCTTCGTAGACGTCATCATGTCTTTTCAGACGAATCAACGCATCCAGATCGACAATGCCGCATCGAGAGCGCGATGTGTTAGGGCGTCAAGGTCTGCGAGGCGAATTGCCGCTTCTACAGCTGACGTGCGTGTGTGTATCTAAGTGAATAAAAAAATTAGCAAGGGTGACAATCAACGCTGATACATGAGACAAACGCGATTTCTAGTCGTATAGTGAAGAATCTAGCACTCGCTAGTCGCATTGCGCGCGTCTGAGACTCCAATCACTAACAAACAAACCAGCGATATAACACAACTTGAAACGTTCTATCACCGCCATCACATCTGCTAAAAGATCGAACAGACCTCTCCTGAACGAACAAAATGACAGACCAGACTGACCTTAAGACGACGCAACATGAAGACACCCCGGTCGACAACTCCCAGAAATTTCAACACATGAAGACGGTATCCAGTCTCGCGGACGGACACCGCTACGCACTGAAGTACTTCCCCGAAGAGCTACAAGCGCTGCTCAACATAGCTTCACTCAAGCTCGAAGAACGTGTTCCCGGTCACTTCGGCGCTATCCTAGGATGGCAGAAAGATACCAAAGCAGCGTCTCAATACCCACAGGTGACGATGAAACCCTTAGAAATTCTCTGGGATCTGGAACACCGTACTATAGTACTGTCCGATTCGTTTCCATTTAGTAGGAGTACTTGGAAGATTGTCGACATTAATGGCGAGGAAGCACTACCAGTATTGCGGCGCGACTACGATCTTGTACCGCCATTCTCCACGGTCCTCACAGTAGTTGACCATGAGCACTTGGTCTTGCTTGAGGTGTTCTTCCGCTACAACCTCCTGGTTCAGGGCTTCGACGACGCCATTGAAGGGTTCAAGCACGATTTCTGGCTTTGCTTCGAGAAGCTTTGTCGCCATGTTGCGGAGCAAGCTTGGGCAGCCGATGCGCAAGAAAATGAGGACGACGCGTATGGGTCTGAGAAGACCGAGGCGTCCACGACTACTCAGATACAAGACGCAAAGCTTGATAGCCTCCCTAACGAAGCCGATACTAGCGACCGCGCACACCGAGACAGCAGTACAGCGCCGGAGACCAAGGAGGAACAGGCGGAGGCTACCAGTGATGATATTGAGAAACAGCTCGCAAAAGCGCGTGAGGAAGCAGCTGGATGGAAAAAGACCTATGAGAGTGAGAAGAACTTTACAGCAAAACTAAGGTTTGTGTTACGTAAGCACGTGGCAAGGAAGGATGAGCTTGCTGCCAAGCTCAAAGAGCGAGAAGGGGAAGTGCAAGAGTGGAAGGAGAAGTATGAAGCCTTGTGCAAAGAGATCCGGGAGGCTTAAGCTATCTTAACCGCTTACGGATGTACCTGGTCGAATAACATGGGAAGAAGAGAAGGCCGGTCAAGGAATATCACCTAATAACTAGCATTAAGCACACATACTCGCTGCAGAGTTCATATTGATCCCACATCTCGTCTCCTCCACAACTGTAGCCCTGTAAACATAACAGCTACTTGAAATAGACCTCAACCCTGATTGAAGTTCACCTCATCAAACGACGAGTTCCACTAAGTTCCACTACTTCGATCATTCCCATCATGTGCAAACCGATGAGGCCTCCAATCGCCTCCACCGCTACTGGGCCTGCTTCTATCACCCCTACCGTATTGTCCTCCATCACCGCCATTATCGGAGCTCTGATAACTGCCTGGACTATTCATTACAGGACTAGAACGCTCTGAGCTCCTACCCCTACCATATCCGCCTCTGCCTTCAAATCCACCTCTTCCGCGGGGACTAAAAGATCCACGGCGACTGCCAGGACTCATGTCGCTGGGACTAGAAGGCTTCGAACCCCGACCGCTACCGTAGCTGTTCCTGCTGTCAGGTCTACTCCTGTTAGAGTTTGGAAAGTTCCCATTGAAGCCACCTGGACTGAAACCTGCGGAGCTGGGAGATCCTGGGCCTCCACGACTTTGCGGCCGAGAAGAGATTCCTAGTGCTCTATTCTTGCAACCTGTCTCTCTCGAATGCTTAGGCCAGTCTAGATACCGCCTACCATTGGGCAATTGGATCATGTCGACCGGGACGTCAATGTCACAGTACTTGCAAAGGGCTGTTACAGTATCAGACGTAGGGGACGGGCCAACTGGCAGTGACGATGCGTTGCTATGCGGGGTGGTCGCGCCTGAAGCATTGTTGGCCATACTAGTATCGATAGTAGGTTGTGGTTTGGGGGCTGGGGAGTCGGGGCTCTCTTGCGCTGGAGAGTTGATTGATGAGGGCGCACTTGGAAGGCTTGCCGTTCTAGCAGCAAATCTCTGGATCTCTGGATCGAAATCTTGTCCATCGTCATCTGCCCAGCTTTTTCCTGTGGCTGGTCTTCCACTGGCCTCGGCGGCTGGCGCCATGGGGAGTTTCACTACAGGACTTAAGGCTTCATCAACTTCTGCGCTTTCGCCATCGGTCGTCGGTCTTCCGTCTGGGGCTGTGGGAGGTTGAGCGGCGACCTCTACCCAGCTATCATCAGGTGCAGTTCCTGACGTGTTCGACTGCTGAGGCGAGGTCGGCAACTTCGTCATATCTGGCTGCGACTCGTCTCTCTGCTCTGGAGTGTCACTAGAATTGTTGTCCTGTAGTCCTTCGCCATGCTCCTCAGCTTGATCCTCACTTTCCTTTGCCTGACTGTGCTCTTCCAACGTCGCTTCTAAATCCATCTTTTGCCTCTCCAACGACTCGACTTGGCTCGTGAGACGGTCCAGCTGCTGCTTGTTCTGCACTTCATCTGCTTTCATCGTTTCGATATGGGCCTCGTTCTTTCCGATGTCTTTAGTGAGTACATCGTTTCTGACTTTTAAGTCAGCGCTCTTGAGAGTCTCTGCCTTTAGCTTTTCTTTGAGATCTACGATCGCGCTCTGATCCGCTTCCGGCTGTCCTGTGCTCTCATTCAGCCCAGCGAGGCTCTCGTTTGCTTCCCTTTGCTGGTCCCGTTCATGCTCAGCTGACGACAGATCATCTCGTAGTCGTTGGACTACAGCCAAATGGTTTTGGATCTCTTGTGCCATTCTTTGCTGATCACTTCGAGCTGATGATAGGCTTGTCTCTAATTCACTGACCTCCGAAGACAGACTGAGGTTCTCTTTTCTCATCTCATCTTGATCGCTCTGCGCCGTTGATAGCTTACTCTCCAATTCTTCGAGTTCAGACGACATTTGCGTCATCTCGTCTCTCGCCGTAGTCCGATCGTTTTGAGCCAATGCCAGTCTTTCCTCTAGTCCCTCGATCTCGTTTTCGTAGTTTCTTATCGTTTCCTCCTGCTGCTTCATCGCGGGGTCTCCATTGGCAGCAACGCGCTCCTTTTCTTGCTCAAGGATTCGTAAAGACCGTTCAGTTTGGGTGACCTGAGTTTGAAGCTCTTCATTCTGCATGAGCAGTGTCTTGTACTCATCACTCTTCTCCTCTCCATCGGACTTGGTGGCGCGCTCAAGATCTTCCTTCAAGCTCACATTGGCCTGCTCTAGCACGGCCTTTTGTTTGGTAATCTCGCTCATCTTGCTCTCCAAATTCTTTATATGTGATTTGACCGCCACAAGCTCGTTCGCATCCGTTGTTGGCTGCACAGTCGAGGGCCTCTTGACATCGTGAGTGCCAGCGCCAACGGTTTGGAGATGATCAACATGTTGGCTGAGATCGTTAACACGGTCGCTAATAGTATTGAATCGATCGGTAGCTCCATCTGCCTTCTCGCGAAGCTCGCCGATACTGGCGTTGATGGCGTTCAACTGCTGCGGTAACTGTTCGAAAGCAGCGAACCCTTCCTGCAAGGTCCTCATCTGCGCATCGTGCCACTGCTTCTGCAATCCAATGTCACGAACACGGCGAATCCAGTGAAGAAGTAAGGCTCCGGAACCGAATGCAACAAAGACCGCTGCGAGAAAGACAACATCGTCGGGTGTAGTGGGCATCGCGCTGAGCGCACGTCGTGCAAAGGCGTATCTCTCCATGATTGTCAGTTTTGCTTCAAGACTAGCAGAGGTAAACAGTGTGTCTTCAAAGTCCGATCATCTACAGGATGTTGAGCGAACATATCGAGTTCGCGTGAAAGAAAGGCGCAGCGCAACAGACAAAGGCGAAAGGTTCACAAAGACGCTGCCTGAACAAGGAGGCAAGGAATGCACCCATCCTGCAGTTCTGAAAGAAGACCGATCGCGATTGCGGGTTTCAAATTCGTCGACCCGGGGGTCCAGTAGAAGGACGGTACTCTTTACCAAATGTGAAGTGACACACATACGCCTCAAGTAGTCTCCGGTATGTCTGACTTCTCCAGAATCTCGTCCAACAGTTCAACGAACCTCGCAGCCATCTTCTTTCCGCCCGCTTCGTTTGGCTCAACCCTTGCTGTATAGTCATCGGCCAGCTTGCCATCGAGCACCTCATACAGCGCGCATGACACTATCTCCGTACCCTCAAGCCGTATTGCTTTCGTCGCCATCTCGTATATCGCTTGAATGGCGGCTTGTAGCTGCCCCGGGTACGAGTTGTATCTTAGCGCCTTGAGCTGCGTATCAGCCCAACTGGTCTGCCCTAAACCCGACTCGAGTGGGAAGTATATCATGCAGACGATGACGGCGCGAGGCTTGGTTTTGGCGGTAAGGCGAGCGATGTAGTCTTGGGTCTTGGTACCGAACATGTGCTTAAAGTACTGCAGTGCGCTTGCGGTCCCGTTCTCTAGGCTTTTGCGTTGGGTCAGCCAGGCGAGCTGTAGCATGTGTCGTATCGTGGAAGGGTTCGGGCGCAGCGCAATGTCGTTGGCGCCAACGCTAACGATCAACACGTCGTTCGAACGAATATTATCGCGAATGAACTCGTCGTGCGGTAGGAGTACGTCGTCTCGATCTCGAAGCATGGATTCTTCTACCGCCGTGTTAATACAAGTCGCACGATGCTCGAGCAGGTTGTTCATCCAGAACGCGACATCGGGCTTCGGAACGCAAGGATGCTTGAATGCTGTATTGTAAACGCTTGGCAGATGGTTTGGAAGGATAGGACTAGTCTTGTCGACCCAGTGCTTGTTGTCAAGAGACGAATCCCCAGCCAGATATGCGATTGGTTTGTCCGGCCGTTCTGCAAGTGTAACATTGCGAAAAGTGGCGAGGTCGTCGATAGGATGGCCCTTCCACTCGAAGTAAAACCGGTCGCACTGGATCTTTTCCATCGCAAATGGGGATGAGGATGCCATTCTTCGCGAGATGTAGGCCGTCGTCAGGGAAAATAGGCTCCAGTCGGATGACCCATGCCAGCAATACGCGACGCTGCCACTGCTGCCGTCAGGTGATATCGTCTACATATTCGGGAAGAACCGCGGAGTTTGTATTGACGCGTGTTCGCGCGGGTTTGGAAGGGAGCATCTTCGTGATGGCGCGTGTGACGACGGATGATGTGGAAGCAATCGCGTCGAAGATGCGTGGGCGCGCACGGACCCCACTACCATGACATCACCGGGAACTCGATGAGCAGTTGCCCAATCGGGTGAGTTATGGAAAGGTGTCGACCGTTCCGCGCTTTCACGGAAAGCGCGTCTTAGGCGAATTGCGCGAACTGCGCGATAAGAGTGAATTGGGCGGACTGCGCAGCGTGCGTCCATGTCGTCTACCATCTGCAGGACGGCGGATCGAGGAGTTTAGCATCTCATTACTCATATATTAATCACTTCAGGGCAAGATGTTCAAGAAACAAGAGTTAAATAATGCTCTCTCCCTACTCAATCAAGGCGACTTGGTCAAGAAGACAAAGCCTATGCTACATTGCTGTGCCGAAATGTAGCCAAAAGCTGTTCCTGCATAGCAAACTGCTCGTTTTTGGCAGCGAGCTCGTCAGCCAACGTGCGATGCACAGGATCCAAGCACTTGGCTTGATTACGGATCTGTGCCTCCAGAGCTTCAGCATGCGCCCGATACTGACGAACGGCCTTGTCTAGCTCGACAACACGCTTGGTCTTTTCTGCATGATCCTTCTCGACATCCTCCATGAGGGCTACAAATTGGTTGGCGATCTCTTTGGGCCCTTTGATGTCGACTTTGGAGGTCGAAGACATGGCGCTTTTGACGCGCTGGAACAAAGAGTAGTTTCGCTTGTTGCTTGGTTTGATGTTGATTGTCAAGGCCACGTTGGGTAGGTCGGATGTAGCTCGCGTGTTAGCAGCAGGAGTGGTCACCTTGAACGGTGGGTCGCTGAGGTTGTTGATGGACTTACCAAGATCCTCCAGTCCAGCCAGCATGTCAGGGTTGATTACGGACTTGTTTGCGACAATTGGCGTGCGTGGAGAGGTCGAACTGTTTTGTAGGTCGGAGAGAGTCAGTGTACATTTGTTCCTTATTTCTTGTTCCTGATCCAGAGCCTTCAGTGTGGACATGACAGACACGAGCTTCGACTCCAACTCGGTACACTCCAGCGAAAGGCTATGATTTTCTGATGTCAAGCCTTCAACTTCCAGCTCTAGGGCACGCAGCTCGGCTTTGTTGTCTTCAGGAGCGATGGGAGTAATGCAGACATTTGTCAAAGGACCAAAGGAAAGAGATTGGGTTGCCGTGTCGTCGAGATCGATATCATGGAACTCGCTGGAAGCAAAATGCTGTTCGGCGCGTAAACTGCCAATGACTTCATTGAGATGATTAACTTCGTTGTGGCGTCGCTCGTTCTCATCTCTCAGTTCCCGGATACACTCCAAGTCCGTAGCCTGGCCATCAGTTAGATCTGCATTAGCCTTCGCAAGATGACGAAATCCTTCTGCTTCTGCTTCGGCGGCGGCCAGTAGTTCTTGAGCATCCACAAGCTGCTGGGATATACGCTTTTGGTGCTCCACGCAGTCGTGCTCGTGATGCAAATCTGTTGGGCGGCAGTTAGCTAGGAGAGTCTGGGCTTCGCGGTACGCGTTTCCAGGAGGCTTGAGGTTGGATAATCGAGCTTCCAGTTGGTCGATCCTAGTATCCTTGGCACCGAGTTCGGTTTGTAGCTGAGCGATGACGTGTGTTGCTTCTTGATCCTCCTTGGTACGCTTCTTCGTTGTTTTCCCACGAACAACTTCTTTTTCCATCTCGCGAAGCTTCTGCTCATCGGCCATCTTGACCTCGAGGGCTTTGTAGTCTCTGGACTGTTTATTGGACGCACTGGTCATGTCATAGATCTCATCTTTCTTCTTTGCTACTTCGTTCTTGTAGAATTGGAGTTCGTGAGAAACTTCGTTACGCATGTTCGTAGCCAGAGCCGAAGAACTTTCAAGTTCGGCGACTCTCGCTCTCAGTTCTGCGACTTCCAGGCCTTGCTCCGAGAGCATGCTATCATGACGCGAAGCCATGGCAATTTTCCCCTCGTGGTCATTGGGGATGAAAGGCGAAGTCGGCGGTGCTGAGTCCTGGTCAGACATCTCTACACTGCTCGTACCCACGCGGAGGCTTTTGATCGGAAAGTCTAGGTCAATCTAGGGATGTGCACTTTAGTCCAACAGGTCTCGCATTGTAAATTCAGGCAAACACCATATCGCTTCATTGTACTCGTCACAGAGTACTGGTGCACAGCACATGAACTCTTCGACCATACCCTCGCGGTATGTTGTAGCAACAATGCAACAGCGAAACTGTTGCTAGAGCTAGACGACCTGTTGCATCACGGGCCGCGGCGGTGTTGGTTGCGCTAGGTATCCTCATGCCACTACAGGTCAGCGAACATCATTCGATGGAGGCTGACGCTTCGCATAGCCTCAAGACTCCGTGACGACATGCCGCTGTACGTTCGTTGGCGGACATTGACCCGGTTCGTTGCATCGAATTGGTGAATTGATTAGAGTTGGGCCATGGAATGCACTTTTGTGCATCTCGGAGCGCACTGCGAATGTTGAAGAACCACAAAGCCAGCAGTCTAGTAGGCGGTGTATACGTGATGCGGCGCTGCGCTGCATCTGCCGTGTTGCCGGCATACCCTTGGCCGCGTCACGTCGCAGGCTGTGGAAAATGAAACCGTGCACCGCCACATGTGTTTGACGACGCTGCCCAAACACCGAGCGTGGGACCTTTGTGTTGAAACAAGACGCTGGACGCGTCCGAAAATAAAGCTGTCAAGTTACAGATTATTTTGAGATGAAGGAACGCGAAGATTGATTGTAGTGCGGGGGACAAGGCCAGGACAAAGAGGAGAAGATGCGAGAAGGTTGTGCAACACGTCGCATCGCCAGCGGCACTAAGAGCTGGGATCGCGGCGACTGACCAATCATGGACGCGACATGTGGCTCCCTGATCATGCGCCACTGCGAGTGACGTCGGTTTCAGGGAAATCAAGAAGGGACAAGGTCGTGGCAGCATCATCGCCTGCCAGCCTGTGCGGAGGCATAAAGAACCAGGCCGCCGCTGTGTTGCAGGCCTCATCGAGCCTCTCTACACTCAACTGCGGCAAACAACAAATACCATCGACTTTCGGTAGCGAAGACATCTGCAGCCACAATCTGCCTACCCGCTCCGTAGCCCCTGCAGCCATCCATCGCGTAGCCGTAGCGCCTCTTCTATCAAAATGGTCGCACCCGCTCTTGTCCTAGGCCTGCGCGGCGTACAAGTCGTCTTCAGCATCATCGTGCTGGGTCTTACAGCCTACAGTATGTTGCACACGGACCATTCGATGCCGTAGCGTTACTAACATGTCTCCAGTTGTCGATGCCTACGTCACCTGGGTGCCGGCGAGCGTCGCCTTCATGCTCTTCACATCCATCTGGACCCTCCTGGCTGTCGCATATCTCGTCCTCGCACCAGCTCGCTTCCCCGCTGCAGCCCACAAGTTTGCGATTGGCGGAGTCGAGTTTATTACCATGATCTTCTGGTTCGCAGCCTTCGTTGCAGTGGCCACTCGATGGGGTAACAACTGGTGGGCTGGCCGCCAAGGCACTTTCTACAGCTGCGGAGTCGCTGCCATCGTCTTCTCTGCTTTCAACTGGTACGCAACCTCAATTCTCACCCGCGACTGTGTACTGACATACTACAGGGTTGCCTTTGTTGCTTCGACCGTGCTTGCGGCGCTGCACATTCGCAGCTCCCCCAGGAATGACACCGCTCCTGCGCCGAACATGGCCGGCGTCTAAACGACGATTCTCTGTCGCGCGATACGGTCCAGACCAGCTGTTGGTCTTATAACTCATGATACCCATATCTTTCCTAATCTTACTCTTGTACACGCGGTTAGAATGTAATGTCCAGCGTGGCGTTCGTGTTATGGTGCGTCCGAACCCCCGATACCACGTTTATGATACATGCTCTTAAAGCGTCCCGAATAATGAGATTCTTGACTTTGATCTACTAGTTGCAGATGTCAGCTACAGTCTTGGTGATGATTGCCACGACGGCCCTGCGGCAATCGCGACTGACAGCGCCCCACCTTTAGCGACGCCGACGGCCACCAACCTGGAGATCATCGACCCTGCTTGGAGCAGTCGACGCTTACTGCAGAACTTTGTCAACTCCAGATATTCTCATCTCACCTCACTTAAGCTGTTTTACTTTTTTGCTGCCTCTCCCAAAGACGCGTCGGCTGCAACCAAGCGGTGCGCTACCCGACGCGAGTCATCATTCCCTCCTACACGCATCCATGCGAATCAGCAACGAAGCCAGCGCTGGTCGTAGGCCCTTGGCCAACGCCGCATTTACGACTACCACTCGCTAAGTTTCCGGGAAGTCTGACCGAGAGTTGAAGCGCGTACCGTGGATGCCGTTCATGCTCAGCAACAAGAGGGAATGCCTTGTGGAGATCTCTTACCTTAAGTACCGCTTGGCTGGGATGCGGTACATCCGACTCTTCCTGAGTGCTGTTGGACATTGATGAAGCACCCACCAGGAATCAGGATTACCATGCATTGGGGCTAACCTACCCCGGGAAGGACTCGGTGGCTGGCCCACTCACTCTATCTGTCTCGCGTGCATGTTCGGAGCAATCCCACGCGCTTCCCGTCGATGAAGTACCCACACACGGACATGTTGCTCCAAGAACATCAAGCTACGGGCTTGGTCTAGTTGGTTGTGGACTCTATACGAATTTGATTGCCATGCTGACGCCCCGACGCTATCCCAGGGCGTGATACTCGTGCATCAACCCCCGCCTGTCGCTTCGGTAGCTACGACACGAGCATTTGCCGCGTTCAAGCCATCGCTACCGCTTAATCCTCCCGATATTCGCGCTTAGTGCGTGCGCCTCTGGAAGATCATGAGCCGATGCTGGATGATTGTATCATTGAACTGGACAGAATCCTCAAGTCCTGACAATACTACTGTCCTCCAGGGCGGGATCTGACAAGAAAATCATCACACGTCTCATCAATTTGTAGTTGGACCCCAAATCCGTTCGTGCCTTGCGAGATTGACCGTTAATTCGCCATAGGACAAGATCCACGGTGTCGGGTCAACATTTCCTGTCCGTGCCGTCGGAAGAGCACGACTAGGCGCTGCCTCGCCAAAAGTGCCACTGCAACTTCGTAGTGTAACACGAGAGCAGGTCACGTACCAGCCAACAGGTTAAACACAGGCTCAAAAAATGCACTTGCAAGCAGCAAGGCGTTCGTTCGGGCTCTTCTGAGCTTTGTTCGGGATGATTAACACCCGATAATTGGAGGAACAAGCCCAATTTAACCGGCTGCCAAGGTAGGCCGCTAACGCGCCGCGACGCTTACCCAATATAAGATGCAGGTTCGGTATTACGGTCGTGTTCTCCGCCTTAGCCTAGGTAGGCTACGGAGCATCTGGGGTAAAGAGCCGGGGTAGTGGACCGCCCTGGGGCCACGCCGTATTATAAAGGGTAAACCCCGATCTGCTCGAGCACCAGCAGCCTCCAGCGCTTCCAACACCGGCATCATGGGTCTCCTCAAAGCTCAGGATGGTACTTCCGACCCCATCATCACCCGCATGGTGGAGCAGGACAAGGTGCGATGGTGGAAGAAACCGAACCTGCGCATCATGTACATCTGGCTCTTCTGCTGCTGCATGGGTGTTGAGATTACTTCTGGTTTCGACTCTCAGCTCATCGGCACACTTCAGTTTTCCGTTCCATTCAACACATGTAAGTCAAAACTGTTGAAGCTTTAGATCCACAAGGCTGACAGTCTCAGATTTCGGAGAAGGCTACAAGGACTCAGATGGCGAAGCCAGCATCGAACCCAAAATCATCGGTTTCATGTCCTCATGCTACCAGCTCGGTTCCATTCTTGCAGTTCCGGTCGCACCCTGGTTGAGCCAAAAGTACGGTAGACGCATGTCTATCTTCGTTGGTTCCGTCATTATGGTCGTCGGCGCTTTGTTGCAAGGTTTTGCTCAGCACAGTACGTACACAACCCATCCACATACACAGTGGCGGCGTATCTAACGCATTATCAGTTGGGATGTACATCATCGCACGTATGCTGCTTGGTTTCGGTATCCTCTTCGCCATCGTCTCCGGTTCTTCCCTGATCGGAGAGTTGGCTTACCCCAAGGAACGCCCATTCATGACCTCGCTCTTCAACGCATCTTACTTCATCGGATCCATCCTTGCCGCTGCCATCTCAATCAAGACAACGGAGATGGTTGGAAACTGGGGCTGGCGAGCACCATCTCTGCTGCAGATCTGCCCGTCCATCCTCCAGATTTGCACTGTTTTGTACGTTCCTTCGAACGAGTTTAGAGTTTCACACTGACTTTACTAGCTTGCTACCTGAGAGCCCACGTTGGCTAGTCAGCCGTGATCGCGACGATGAAGCTTTCGCCGTTTTGACCAAATACCATGCCGAAGGCGACGCCAACTCCATCCTCGTACAAGCCGAGATGGCCCAGATCCGGTCCACAATTAAACTCGAGATGGAGAACTCAAGCCGCTCGTGGATGGACATGGTTCGTACACCTGGTATGCGACGCCGTGTCTTCATCTCTTGCTTCCTCGGTCTCTTCACCCAGATGAGCGGAAACACTTTGATCTCGTATTACCAAAATCTTCTATTCAAGATGATGGGATACACCACCAAGTACGCCAAGACGCGCATCAACATCGCCAACCAATGCTGGAGTTTGATCAACGGTGTCACTATCGCTCTCGTCGTCACTCGATTCCGCCGTCGCTGGATGTTCATGCTTTCCGCTGGATCCATGACCATGGTATTCATGGCCATGACCATCGCTTTCCAGCGTCTCCAAGTCGCCGATGCCAACGGCACCAAAAACCAGGCTGCGCAAATCGCCTCGCTTGTCTTCTTCTTCGCATACTCGCCCTGCTACAACATCGGTAACAACTCGCTCACATACACCTACCTCGTCGAACTCTTCCCCTACGCCCAGCGTACCATGGGTATCGGTGTCGAGCAAATGTTCGGCAAGCTCGCCGGATTCTTCTCCGTCTACGTCAACCCTATCGCTCTTGACGCGATTC